CGGGTCGCACAGCGTGAGAACAAACATCGTTAGCTGCAAACTTTTAAACCCTGCGGTTTCATCGTGCAGTGTGAGCTGTAGCTGCGAGCAACGATTGAAACAAATCGCAGTGTACGCCCGGCATCTTCTGGTTATTTTTTACAAGCCCGGTGATTATGGACAAAAATCAGCAACGGTTCTGTTTGTGTTCTTCACCATTTTCTTTATGATTTGATGATTTATGTAGAAAAATAGATGAGAAATTTAATATGAACAGAAAGAAGACAGATAGGAGTATGTGAAAGCACGGATTCTCCATTCACACATTCCCTGTTGCACCGTTCTCTTCACAGATGCAGGATGAAAATAAAATGATGAGAGTAATTGAAGCTAAGGGGGCTAAAGGTTTTCCGTTTTTAAATCTGTGAACATCCTGCCTGATCAAAGCCAGCCCACAGACCCCAAAAGGACAGACAGAGAGGACAGCGTACCCGACGAGGAGTCGGAGGATTTTAGAGCAAAAGACCAACCATCAGGGGTCATAGACGCACAGTGAGGTAAGCGCAGCTCCACCGGCTTCAGGAATTTGAGTCCGTGAGGGCCGCACATCACCAGCGGACTTAGCAGCGTTTCTCCTGCAAAGAAACACGACAGGATTTAAATTCCACCGATTAGGCACAGAGTTTAGCAGCACAGAGGGATTATCCTTTAACTAATGAAGCTCAGAGAGGGGGGGGGGCACAGTGAGGACTATTAGGGAGGTTATAAACCAGGAACACCTCAGAAAAAGATTTTACTTTTGTTTCCGTCTAAAATAATCCCAAAATATCATCATCTGGATGTTAATTTTAATCTGACATTAGCAGCAGAAGCAAAGAAACCCGTAGTCCTAAGCTGTGAGTCATTCCTTGGCATAATGGGGACAGGGAGGATGGGGGGGGGCTGACCTTTCTCCTTGTCCAGGGGGGGCAGGATGCTGTTGTCCCGGCACACCTTAAAGTAAATCTCCTGCTCCACGCTCTCCGGTATGGCCCCCTGCGGAATGATGATGCTGACGCCGGTTTCGATGGAGCTCAGGACTCCTCCGTTACTGTTAAAGACGCCGCGGGCGGTGGCTACCACTGTGTGCCCTTCATCCTCGTCATCATCATCCAACGCGCTGGGGCTGCGGGACAGAGGGAAGCGAGTCAGCATCATCAGTCAAACAGCGGCGCAGCAGAGGGGAGGCGAGCGAACCTCCGCGGTTCCTCCTGTCTTACCTCACAGGGATGGCCTTGGGAATGGCGTTGACGTTATTGTGCTGGTATTTGGGCCTGTTGTCCATGGTGCGGGTGAAGGTGTCCAGGCCGCTGTCATGGTCCAGGGGCTGAGGGGACAGCTGAGGTTTCCCAGAGGTGTTGCTCACCCCTCCAGGCTTAGCCAGGAGGTCCGTCTTCACCTGTGTGTCGTTAGGCAGCAGGTTGTGGTTGAACTTTGGGCTGTCAAACTTGCGCTCGAAAGGCCGGGCTGCACTGGTGTAAGGCTTGGGAACGTAGCGGTTGTAGCTGGTTGAAGGCGGGGCACCCAGCGCCTTTGAGGGAGGGGCATCCGTGCCGTTAACAGGGACTTTATCAGGGAGGCCTCTGGGAGGCAGGTAACCTCCTGTAGAGGGTTCGTCCCTGCTGGGGGGTCTGAGAGCTGCCAGGTCAGATTTAGGGTTCGGGGAGGTCAGAGGTTCAGGTATGGAGTTAGCTGGAAAACAAGGAAAGGGAGAAAAAACTGTTCAAAACATGATGTATTTAATGTAAAACTGACAGAACATTTAAAGAGGCATTCAGCTCGACAGCAACTAAACTGCATCAGTCTTTTACAGCAGCGGAGCTTTTTCACATTTGAATAAGCTCTTTAGAAATGAGCTTATTTTTAGCTAATTTTTCCCAGTTAGGGTTAGTGGATGAGCAAACATCCTCCTGAATGGGGAGCGGTAATGGCGCTGCACTCTGTTCATATTGACACAGAGTAGATAAAACAAAAAACGTTTACATCTTTACTGAAAGTCCAACCTATGGATGTGAGGAGTGTTTTACCAGCTGCACTGCATCTTAGGATTAACATATTATATACAGTAGTAAGATATTTTACCCAACTATCAAAAAAACAATCAGTTTCTTCAGTTGAACTTCCGCCTAGGCTCCATATTGCCAAATAGATTTTTTTTTCATACACCCCTATTGTTATTTCTGTTAGGTTTGTTATTTATACATCATGTGCAATGTTATTCTGTCAGCCAGATTAGAGAGAGAAGAAGGCCTTCCTTCACATGGTGGACGTCACTGTGTGTACGGAGGTCATCTAATCAGGACAGCCTTCATTGTCTTTAAAAATACACAGGATATGGGCGCATCTTGGAGCCGGACTGATAAAGGAGAGCTATGTGTAATCCTGGGGTAAAGAGGCAAGATGCATAAAGGTCAGGGCATGGATGGCGTGTCAGTTTCTGATACGGACAGCTAAGCATCCACCTGATGCAACACATGGACTCCTGGGGTATAAGAAGGAGGAGATGACCTTGTTCGGGGCTCAATCTTTGCCGCTACAGCTGTGCCGAATCTAAGCAATTTCTCTGTCCTGTAACGACCTGACCTGGAATAAACGCTGTTACTTTTTTACTCCTGTTTTATAGTCCATTTTATATGGTTTTACCCAGTTTGAGTTAGGAGTAGTAAATAACTTGCTCCCAGGAAAAGAACCGGTGGGGAAGTTCGAGGTGCAGCCGCCTTCAGGGGGACCTAACGTCCATATTTAACATTTTCAACCATATTTTCACCTCATGTTAAGAAAAAGTTGATAAGAAATTGTATAACAATGAAAACTGAAGTTCCTAATGTGTGTGAGGGAAGAAGAGTGAATTAGAGGAGAATAACAGTTTCTAGAACTTACCATCAACGGGGCTGAGTTTGGGCAGCGTGTTCGGAGGGTTAACTGGAGCTGGGGGTGCGTACTGAGTGGAGGGACTGATTTGGGGCAAAGCTTCATATCTTTTCTCCACAGGGCTCACCTTCTCCAAAGACTCGACCCTTTGAGGAAGAAAACAGCAGCGCGTGTGAGACCAGTAATGCTATGAGGAGGTCCTACTAGCAGACGGTGAGCTGGTCTACCTGTGGTACGGGTAGGACAGCTGGGCTGGTTTGGACACGTCATGAAATCGGTTGATACCGGGTCCAGGTTGGCCCATCGCCTTGCTGTCAAAGCTGCGCCGGTCAAAGTAGGACAGCTGCTTCCTGTAGTACTCTTCATCATCATCTAGGTCATAGTGGTTAGAGCGAACCACGTCATCCAGAGGCTTCGAATGAGGCTTCTGCGGCTCAGGAGCCCTGAAGACAAAAAAACACAGTTTTATAGCAAACATTACATATATATATTTATATATATACTCTAAACATCAAAGCGGCCTTACTAATAATAGATGAATTACACAGAGGATCACTGTAAACCTCAGATGTAATGTATTTCAATCAGTTAATTAATCAAAAGTTCACCACTAGATGGAGCACAAGCAACAGCAGCTCTGCTATAATCCAGCGTCTTCCTTTAGTTTGGAGGTGAGGATTAGATACCTGTAGGTAGACTTCTCCTGCTCCAGGTTGCTGAGGGAGTTGGCTTTGAGGACGGGGGCGGGAGCATTCACAGGCTTAGGAACATCTGCAGGCTGCAGAACAAACAACAAGGCCTGCTTTATATGGAAGGAACCCTCAATACCAAACTTTAGGTTATTTACAAATTTCTTA